GGCGGAGGGCCGTGGGTCAAGCCCTGGGTGGCTGTCTGGTCTTTCTGGCACCTGAACATTTGCTCAGGGCTGTGATGATTTCGTGTCTATGGGAGGAGAGCCCATCCTGTCTCTCTCTCTGGGTGGGCCAGAACACCATCACGAACAAGCTGGTGCACGTGGCCAGCGAGGGGGCCGACTTGCAGCTGAGCAAGGTGACCATCCTGGGTGTGGCCACTGCACCGCAGCAAGTCCTTGCCAACAGCGTGCCCGTGTCCGACTTCACCTACAGCCCGGACACCAAGGCAAGGGTGCTTGTGCGGGGGCCCCATCACATGGAGAGGACTGCCGTGGGGGGCCCACAGCCAATCTCTGCTCTCCCTGGGACGGTGGGGGGGGCTGTGGTCTGGACATGGGCCCTTCCCTGGGGTCTGCGTGGTCAAGTGGGAACTAACTGGTGCTCTGTTCTCTCCAGATCCTCGCTGTCCCTGTCTCCTTCTCACTGGGGAAACAATTTCTCGTCAGTTGGTCCTAACTCGGTGCCCCAGTGGTGGGCAGGAAGACTGAACTGCACCCGTCTTGGTCAGCCGAGTGGGACGAGTGTACCTTGAAGATTTGGTTTGTTTCCTGTGGTCAGTGCCCCTGAGGTGCTGTCTGAGGAGTGGCCATCTAAGGCTGAACCCTCTGTAGCTTGTCCCTGGGGCAGTGCGGGGCTTGTGTGTGCTTGTGGCCGTGTCACGTGGAGTGTGTCAAGGTGGGAGCTGGCCACTGCCCGATTCTGACTAGAGTAAGCCCAGGGGACTGGGGAGAATCCACAGGACTTTGGGAAAACGGTTTTCTCAAGTGCAATAACTTTTAATAAAAGGGCATTTGGAATCCAGCTGCCGTCCATTTTTCTAGGACTCAGGCAGGGAGCATGTGTCCAAGGGCCACGAGATGGAGGCTGTGACCATGTCCTGGACTGACCTCCTGGAAGCCCCCAGACTGAGCCGTAGCATGAGGAGCAGACCACCATCCTAGTCCTAACTGAACTTCAGGTGCTGGGGGTATAGTCACCAGATGAAGCTTCTCATGTCCCCGGGCCTCCTGGGAAATTTAAATGATGGTCATCTGCAAGGGGCAGAGGAGACCCCTTTTATTCAAGACCCTTTATCCAGTCTTAAAACAGCAGAAGACTGAGATCCCCCACTTGGGTGAAGGAGACAAAACACTGAGATGATCTCTGAAGCTCCTCATGAACCCTGGAACAAGGGCATCTCCTCCCCTAGGGCACCTGTCTGCATCTGCAGAGTTCACGGCCTCAGGCCAGTCTGGGGTTTGGCATCACAAACAGGTGCTAGGGCCTGCTGGAGGAAGTGGTCCCAAATCCACTCTGAAATCTGTTCTGCTTGACTCTGGCAGCTCTGCCCCAGGTGCATGAGGCACCTAGGAAAACCCTGCATCTGACCACTTCACTGCCCACCAGGCAGCACATTCCAGCAGTGGGCGCCAAGGCGGTGGGGTCGAGGAGGAGCTAACGGGCCCGCCCAGGGTGATCCAGTCTGAGACCAGCAAAGCTGTGGGCGCCTGAAGACAAAGAACTGAGCACTTATGGGAAAAGTTTCATGTGTTTAATGAAAAAGAGTTCTGACAAGGCATTATTTACATGTGGGGTGTTTAGAAATGTTTCCTGGGGTACCCCAAGCTGCTGTTGGGACAGGCTGCCATGGGCTCACAGCAACCTCTGTGAAGTAAACGCCGTCCCTAGACAGTTCCACGGTGAACCCGTAACAGGCATGCGGCCTTCAGCACAGCAAGCTCCAGCTCCTCAGATGAGATCAGCAACTGGAATCAAAGGAAGACGTTGGTTCATGAAGAATACAAACAAACAGAAAAGCTGGCGAGCGCCTGCCCGCCAAGACAGGATGGCCCCGGTGCTCACCGTTCATGGGCATCTCGTCAATCTGAGTGGAGTAGTACTGCTCGATGTCACGGAGGATGCGGATGTCATCATTCTTCACAAAATTGATGGCCACACCCTTCCGGCCATACCGACCGGATCGCCCAATTCTTCAGGGACAAAGCAGACTGACTTTAGCACACAACAGCAGACATTTCAGTACGTGACTTACAGGAGACAAACAGCACTCCACCGCCACTCTCGTACCTGTGTATGTATAATTCTCTGTTGTTGGGCAGGTCGTAATTAATGATGAGGGACACCTGAGGGACATCTAGCCCCCTGGCCCAGACGTCTGTGGAGATGAGCACTCGGCTGCAAAGAAAAACACTGGCTGCTGACCGCCGGAGAGCCCAGGGCCCACGGCCACCTGGTCCCCATCGCACTGTTCTAAGGGACGCACCAGGGGCCTGTCCAGATGGGGTAGGCGGACAGCTGGAAGGCGGGCCTCATTACTTGGGTCATGTGTTTGAAGCCGGCCCCATACCAAAGATGGGGAACCGCATTTTATATTACCTAGCAAGAGCTAGGGCCCTGGTGTGGCACTGTAGGGTAAGCACTGGACTGTTTCCAACCAGCCATTCTCAGAAACTACACAGGAGCCACATGAATCAGAGGAACAGGAGCCCCTGCCCGGCGCCCCACGCCTCCTTTGCCCACTGCCCAGCTGGTGGACACTCCGGTGCGGCAGCCTCGAGCCACAGCCGACCGCTGAGCACTGGGATTCTGAAGATTCAGTACAAAAAACAAAAGTAAACTTCAAGAAAGACGACCAAGAGTTTCAAAAAGTCCTAGAAATCCCATATAGGGGGAGTAAAGGGAAATCTTTACGCAGACACTGCGGAGAACAGAGAACGTGTGTGTGTGTTAGTGTGACGCTGGTTTTATACAGGAGCAGCAATTAGACAGGCGATGACGTCCCAACAGAAACAATGGAAGTCAAACAACACTGGATCACATCAGGTAAAGAGGAGACACCGAACTCTCACCCTTGGATCCTACCCCCAAAAACACCACCTTCAAGACATTCCAAGGAGGCTTTTCCAGGCCAAACCAACACTGCCAGGCAAGCAGCCTGTCATGAGCACAACCGCACTACGAGGAAACAGGCATTTCTTCAAGCAGACGAAGCTCACATCCAAGTTCAGAAATGATGGAAAACAGTTAAAAAACACAGCCAGGATGGGTCCACATGTAAACAGGCTCTTCTGTGATGGCGTGCCTCTCGTGGGTCTAAGAGACGACAGTGTAGAAATACCAACTGATGACACATGACACATTCATTCCCCTGGCTCTTTCTCTACACGATGCCTCACAGAGACCACAGGCACGTACCATCCCACTAATCTGTACTAAAGACGTCCGTGCCGGGCACCAGGAACGCTGGCTGCCATGGTTCTAACGTGTCTATGTGGCTGGGCCATGAGTCTCAGTTTGGACTCAGGGCAAACCGGAAACAGGCTAGAGCAGGACTGTCCCTTAGGGTTCCCAAGGTGTGTTTAAAAAAAAAAGTGCTGGTGGGTTCAAATCACCCACCTTCTGGTGGGCAGCTGAGCATTCAACCACTGCGAGACCTTAAACACAATGAAGAAACACCTTTCAAACTCAGAGAGGAAAGAATTTGCAAATCTAAACTAAGAAGAAGCTGAGAAGAGCCCTAACATCCTGTGTTCCCCGAAGCTTCCAGTTCAGTGCCGAGGAGTCGGTTCCCACACACAGCAACCCTGCATAGGCTCCAAAACACACGGCTTGTAAACACGAACTCTTCTCCTCACATAGGCCCAGAATGCCCAGAGCAAGAACTGACCGAATACAGAGAAAAAAACCAGTGCTTGTGGTTCAAACTGACCTCGCAGTCCAGCGTATCATTAGCCCACAGCACCACACCAGGACTCCTAAAAATATGAGTTACCACTGGAATCTAGTGGGCAAAGGGCCCTGCACCCACCGCACATACATGTCTGTTCAGGGATTCACGGTGGGTTTACATGACCGTGTGCTGGTCACAGAGCACGTCTGACTACATTTCAGAGGAATGAATCCATGATGCATGTTGTCTGGCACCATGTCCAAGAGCTGGCCCAATTTATGTTTGTCTAGAAATGAGGAAATCATTTCTACACAAGTAACCCCTCCAGGTGACACCTTCCCAGTTGATCTCCCAGGTCAGGTCTGGGGCCAACGGAGCCCAAACAGCTCGGGAGAAGCTAAAGGCTGCCTCCCCCACATCCTCCAGTGTGGGGCCATGACCGACCTGGCACCTGAGCGGAACTCCTTCATGATCGACTCGCGTTCCTTCTGAGGCATGTCTCCGTGCATTGACGAGACGGTGAAATTGGCTTCCCGCATTTTCTCTGTCAGCCAGTCAACCTATTGATCAAAAGGACAGGGTACACTGAGCAGAGACCAGAGCTGCTGCCCCAGGATGCACTACGGCAGCTCAAGGCAGCAGGCACGCTCAGGCCTTAGAGCCACACGAATCTCAACCACCTGCTTAATCCCTGTGTTCCAAATAACAGTTTTCCAGTTTGTTCCAAATAACGGTTCTCTAGTTTAAAAAGAAATAAAAAAGGGGGCTGGGGGGCAGGGGGAGGTTGCAGTTTAAAAGAGGACGGTGAGCATGGCAGCACCCGTGTCACCGGGTGGTCCTTGGAGAAACCGCTCAACTGGTGACAGAATAAGTTGCCTGCACTCACGTCAGCTGGGCACGTGAGACAACTCGTGCTTAGGTTCCACCTCACTGCAACCTCCAGGGGCTCTTCAGAGACCCCAAATGCAGAGGTAGAACCCTGGACACCAGCATCAACCAAACGTGGCCCCGCTGGCTTTTGTGAATAAAGTTTTACTGGGACACAGCCACGCACTGTCTCTGGAAGCTTCTACAATGACAAAGACTGTGTAGGCCTCAAGGCCTAACATATTTACTACCGCCTATTCCCAGTAACCACTGTATCCAAAGTACTCCAAGAGCCGACCGTGAACTTTCCGCAGTTACTGACCTTCCGTTTGGTGTTGCAGAAGATGACAGCCTGAGTGATGGTCAGCGTGTCGTACAGGTCACACAATGTGTCGAACTTCCACTCTTCCCTCTCCACAGCCACAAAGAACTGCTTGATGCCTTCTAGAGTCAGCTCATCACTGGGGGACGGAGAGCAGCCATCAGACCACAGGGCGCACGGCCACTTCCCTCCTGCGCACCCAAACCATCCTCCCCGTGTCCCCTCACCAGCTGGGCCCGTACTCAAGACTGTGGTCAGACCCTTCTTCCACATTAGAAGAGAATCCAGAGATTTGTACAAAATCCCACAATTAAAAACATGGTTCTAAACAACCCATTCACCTCCCCGGAAATATGTATGCGGTTCCCAATCTGCTGGGAAGGGCCTCAGTGCTACCGGCTAATTCCATCTGGAAACAGGGCGGCAAAGGAGACTGAGCACATTGAAGCCAGTTTTCAGGGTGGTGGGGTGGTGCACGGAGCCTTGCCTTGTTAGCAGTGGGTTAAGATTTGGGCTGCTAACCAAAAGCTCGCTGGCTCATGATAAGCAGAGATGAGAGAGGAAGTTGAAGCCGTCTGCCCGGGTCTGGGTCTACCCTCCCTGTCCTATCGGGTGGCTGAGTCCACACCAGCTCACCAGCAGTGGGCTCCCTTCACAAGCACCACGTTACCGTTTTACCAGGATGCGGATGGGGTCCGTCATGAACTTGTTGGTCATCTCCAGGATCTCGTGAGGCAGCGTGGCGCTGATGAGAACCACCTGTGTGGCCGGAGGCAGGTACCTGTACACATCATAAATCTGCTCTTTGAAGCCTGCGAATGGACAGGAGACACACGCTTGTTCAGTCCAACTACACGTCAAGCATAGACACTGACTGACCCAGCTGCTGCTGCAGGTTGTGAGTGAGGAACTTCAGAAAGGTCACAGGAAAATCCCCTTTTCCCACTCGTTTGGAAACCCCCTCATAATCGACAACTACATTTGGGCATTTTCTCTCTCTTCACATGCTCTCCACCTCACCCGGGTGGTGTCAGATCCAGGGACCTGGTACCAGGTCAAAGCATCAGAAGCTCAGCGTGGTCAGGAGGGCCACACCTCACTGCTGCCACTGGACAGTGAAGATCTAGGGAGGCCAGATCGTCCTCGCCGCACAGAGGGATCCAGAGAGCTGGATCTGACACATTATCTTCCAATCACCAAATGTCAGCAGCAAGCAGGGCCTGGCCCTGCTCACCAGAAGACAGCAACCTCCCTTGAACTTGGGCAGATCTGGACGGGAGCTGGACAGACAGAAAGCCTGGGCAGGGCTTTGTAGTGTCGGAATCACCGGAAGGCCTGTGAGCAGGCAGGTGAGGTTCTATCGAGCTGGCAGGTGACCCACTGCTTTCCTAGAGCCCACACTGGACAGCACCTGGAGATGCAGCTTTATGCCAGAATGTTCTATAGACACAGCCACCCCCTGCCCAGCAACAGGGTCTCCAACTCAAAGGTTCCTCCTCACATAGTCTAGTTTTACCCAGAAGGCAAGTGTCTGCCTCCTAGTTGATTTGCTAACCCCATCCTTCCCCTGGCACATTACTTAAACGACTTTGCTGTGTGTGCCGATTATCCCCAGGCAGTTGTTCATCCAGACACCACGCCTACTGGGACCCTTTCCACCCGACACTGTCAGTCTGAGGAGCGCAGCAGCAGCAGCAGAAATGTCACATCACTCACACCTTTATTCAACATTTCATCAGCCTCATCCAAGACCAACATCTTGATTGCACGTGTCCTTAAACTCCTGCGCCGAATCATGTCTATAAAATCAGATTTGGAAACGGTTACATCCTGAGGCAATGCAGGGAGAGGCGGCCATTCTAGACTCTCCCCCCACTGCCTACTAACTGCCCACCGTGCACACGACGCTGACCAGTGCCACTTACACCCCGATCTCGTGAGGCCATATACTTACCGAAGACACGGCCCGGTGTGCCAGCCACCACGTGCTGCCCATAGTCCAGCTTCCTGATGTCTTCCCCGACATTTGTACCCCCGATGCAGGCGTGGCACTGGACATTCATGTAGTCACCAAGAGCAAGCAGGCCCTGGGGAGAAACAGGCCAGGGTCAGCCTCAAGACCAATGAAGTCAAAAGCACCCGCGAGTCCAAATTCAACGTAAGAGAACCAGCCGTCATTGGTGCTGACTGCCATTAGACCTGCTGCCCGAGTCCCCTCCTCCTCCTCCCCTAAGATGAAGCTCATCCGGCCAGTTTCTGATGACAAAGGCAATACGTGTTCACGAGAGAGCAGCAGAGAACGGGAGAAGTTCTTCATTCCAGCCGCCCTAGGACTAATCTACTAACCTTATACTTCATACCTTTCCTAAAGCACACATTTCTACCATAAACAAACAGAAACATATCAAAACCTTTTTAACTCAAGTGAACTTTGTTTAAAAAAATTATAAAGCTTTAAGATTATAAAACCAAATGAAAGCCTATAAACTACATTAAAAATAACACAAAATGGGAAGGCAAGAATATAACAGAATTGGATCAGCCAGGTGGTGCTGTGGGTTGTAAAAGCAATGCTTGCACACGTGTTACAGTTACCTTAGCCGGAAGGGCCTCACCTTTTGAATCTGCACGGCTAACTCTCTGGTGGGGGCCAGGATCAAAGCTTGGGTCTCACGAACCTGGTAACCAGAAAACAGACGCCTCAGCATCTCCAAGGTGGAGTCCAATAATCCAGACACCGTGGTCTGTTTCCAACATCACCTAGTATTCACCATGCTTCTAGCTTCTCCCAGAAGGAAGCCAATCGCCGTGCAAATACAGCGGTACTGGGACAGATCTGTCAGGATTTGTGGTTGCAGACAAGCCCTTTCTCTAACTCAAAACATCCCCTAATCTGAATAAAGAGGAATGTGTGACATGAATAATGCAGAGGTTAAAAAAGAAAAACAACCCACTTCCGTTGAGTTGATGACTGACTCCTAGCAACCCTTCAGGACAGAGGAGGGCTGCCCCAGAGCTTCCGAGGAGGCTGTGACTACGGGAGCAGACAGCCTCACCTTTCTCCTGTGGGCCAGCTAGTGGGTTTAAATGCTTACCCTACAGTGCCCCAGAGAATAAAAACGTGAACCCCTTCTGACTGCTTCCGTCATAGAAGAAAGAGCAAGTCTTTTCTAGATGAAATGGTTTGTCGTGCAGCAGAGATTTACCTGAATATCCAGACACTGGAGGACCGAGATGCTGAACGTGGCCGTTTTGCCGGTGCCAGACTGAGACCTGGAGAAACACACACAGTGCAACTGCACCCACTGCCCACCCCTGTGGCAGTGCAGCCCCCCCCCCAAGCTTATCCCACCCCAGGCTGACCACACCGTCACCACCAGGGACGGGACAGTAGGCGGGCTTTGTGTCAGGGATCGGGGCAGCAGATTCAGTAGTTCCAACAGGGCTTCCACAGGGGGCAGAAAAAGGAGGGCTCCGTCTTATAGAAATGAAATTGTTCTAGGATCTTGGACTAAATCATCCTTTAAACACCGCCGCCCCCTCCGCCAGGCCGGGGCAGGCCAGGGGCTGCTGGTAAGTACAGCAACCCTGAAGGTAGCTCCCAAGGACCGAGCGGCTGGTGGGTTTGAACTGCAGAATTTAAGGTTATCAGTTTGGGGGGATGGGGCTTAAGTAAGTCTTTTTTAAAAATCAGCCAAAGCAGTAAAGTTATTTTAAATAAGAGTATTACATATAGTCCCACACATTGATGGCTTAAGCATTCTACACAGAGACTACAACAAGAAACCCCAAAGCCAAATTCTGGGGCTCAAGTCAAGGAAAGAGCTGGTACAAAGTGCATGAAATAATGACCGCCTAACCAGTGGTTGCCTTAGGGACTGACAGCCATCTTCCTGAGCAGACACGCGGACTTACTGCGCAATGACGTCTCTCCCTTTAATAATCTGCTTGATAGCTCGCTGTTGGATTGCGGACGGCTTTTCAAAACCTGCAAACAAGAGCCCAAAAGTCAGCTCTACCGTGGTGGCAGGCACACACCATGGACTGTACACCTTTGAGGGCAGAGACGGTCTATCTTTCGGTCTGCTTTGTCACTGAGTCCACCAAAGCCCCTGCCTGATCAGCAGCGAGCACTGAATGAGTCGGGCTGGGAGGACTCTCATATGAATGAGTCGGGCTGGGAGGACTCTCATATGAATGA